GGTGGGCCCATCCTTTTATTTTCTTTTGTTATAACTATATATGCAGTTAGTGTGATTAGAATTACATTTTGGATTAGACTTTATAAAGAGAGTGTGTGAGAGAGAAAAACATTTTTGTATCTACAGATCTATTTTGCATGTGAGTGAATGGAATAATGCTACTAAATTTACAAGGGTTTGCATTTTTGGCACCACTCATCTCCTTAGATGTTAAAAGCTTCACTTATCAAAAGCTATTTTACTGCCTTCAACAGCATTGTGTTGACACAATAATAAACTTGTAACACATGATTTTAGTGCAAAAAGAATGTCAGTGGTGGCCGAAAGTATGAAAACAGAGCATGAGACAAAGAACATGAGACTACTGTACATACCGGGCTGATGTAGACTCCTTGGTGGACGTCTCCAAACTGACCTTCACCTATGCAACGTCCCAACTCAATACGATCCCGCTGAATCTCATAGTCCCGTGCTAGATAGACAATGAAAACGAACATGAATGCACACAGATGCAGACGCACAATGAGAACAAACAGAGAACACCTTCATATTAAACACACGCGTTCACTTTTCAGTCAGGCCTTGCATTTACCAAACTTATCAGAGAGATTCACACCGTGCAGGTTTGTTCTATTCTGAAACTAATTGTGGGAATTATCAAAATTTGAAATTCTTCTTGCAACAAATTTATTTAATTGGAACCTGACAACACAGTGAAGAATAAAGTTCTTAATTCCATGTGTATGTGAAAATTTTGTATAATTTTGTATCTACCTACAAACTACCTAAATTTTTTGGGATTAATAATAATAATCCACCTCTCGACTCTGATAATCTTGGTTTTACATCAATCAGCATGGCTCAGTGTCAACAGCATGCAACATCATCAAACCACAGCCAGACATGCCATGTAACACAGACAAACAACAGCCAGTAACACCAAATGTATATATGAACATAAATGTCAATAGTAATTAAAATGTAATATGGATAAAGTCAGGTTGATTGTATAAGAGTGAAAGATAACTGGAGAAAATTATGAAATTTCACAGGCTGAAATGGGACAGATTTCACATTTTTGATTTGTCCAAAAGTAATTTGTATGTGTTACTATACTAAGTCAATTTTGATCTGAAATCTTGATATCTCACTTCTGTGAGATATTGGCTGTTGAGAGGCTGGTGGTTTGCTCTGCCTGTGGGGTACGACACTGTTGACCTGACTTTGTCCATGTAATCAACATATGAATAAACCATACATGTCAGTTCCCATCTCTTTTATAATGATCACTGTTGTAAAATGTCCAGCACATGTGTAAATTTAGAGGCAGTGATGTCAGGCATTAAGATCACTGGAACTAAATGTGGAAATGGTCGGAAACATACAGTGACAAAAATGTACAGTAGGCTGAGATTAAAGCTTAGCTTCTAAATGTCGCCTGTGTTACGTGATGTTTAAAAAGTCACTACAGTTAAACTATCATTATAGAAAGGAGTTTGTTAGTGGTTTGTCTAGTGTATGTATGTATGTATGTATGTATGTTTATATTTCAACCCTTTAGTCTCACTGCAATTTTTTAAATAGAAAAATGCACTGAGTAAACTGGTAAATATTAAAACAAACAAACAAAATTAAATATTAAAAAAACGTATGTACTTTGGATTGCTGATATAACTTCTTTTTCTTCTTTTTTTCTTCAGTCTAAACAGAAAACATTTCTTCCCCCATTTTTTTCCCTTAAACATTTTAAATACACAACTAGATTTAAGTCCAACAACCGGGTGTCAGTTCTGAAGTGACCACCAGTTTAGACGAAAACTGACAGCACATCAAACATCAACATAGAGAAGGGGGGGAGGGAAATCAATGGGGTACAAATACAGATATAAATTCTGAATTTTATTTTACAATCGCAAGCAAAAGTAAAATAAAAAAAAGGACCACAACAACCACCAACTGAAAGAGCCATCACAATGAAACCATAGTTATGGTACGTTCCAATCTTTACCTTGATCTAGTCCATAGTATTCTGGGAAAATGGGTTAGTGATAGGAGACAAAAATAACTAGCTGTGAGTACAGACAGCCACAGAATATCACTGTAGTCTCTATTAGTTATGCCAATGTTACTATTACAATCGCCATGGCTGTTAGTGTGTCAGTGATGCAGCTACATTAAAGGTTCATTATGCCTGTTTAATGTCACTGATAATAATATTAAGTAACTAGCTCTAGAATATTTAAATCCTCTTCAAACAAAGCAACAAACACGCACACTCACCATTAGATAGTCTAAATCATTCAAAAAGGAGTATTTTAAAATGTGAAGGAAACTTTTGAAGTAAGTTATATTTCATTGAAGTTTGTTAGTTTATTAGTTAGAAGGATAACTCAAAAACTACTGCTCAGTTTTCCACAAAACTTGGTGGAAGGGTGTGGTGTGGGTCAGGGAAGAACCCGGCAAGATTTTCTCAGAAAATAATTCTTGATGAAAACAATCAGACATATTTAGGGGACTGATATTCATGAGTAATCTGTATCTAGTGAATTAAATGTGGTGTCATAAGGTGCCTGTTGGGCCTTGGTGGGGGTATGCACTTTATGAGTACCCTTACAGTCTATCTATCTATCTATCTATCTATCTATCTATCTATCTATATTCTAGACATGAACAGCTAAATGTAACCTCTGCTGACTCCTGTACTGTAATATGTCAATAGTCATTCACAAATCAGAGACAGTCATGTGACATGTTTAACAGACCAATGAATAGCACGGATACAGTCATAATTTTTGTTACTAATCATTTACTGTAAATTAAACTCTCTATCCGTGTGCTGTTTGACTCACTTGTTTTCTCTGCACAGCTTACACAGCTAAATCCACAGGAATAAAATGAAAGCTGTAATTCATGAGCAAAGCAAAGCCACGCAGGAATTTGGTCGCATAAAACAACTTGTGCTTATGATACAGAGTCATTATTTTGACGCAGTTCAAATCAAAGTAGTTAATTTTCTAACAGCATAGCAGGTTGATCATGTTTACTTTGTCCCAGCCACATTCCACACTCTAGCTGAGGGTGATATCATCCATATTCACTGCCTCTAATGTTGCCTATGTACACAACAGGCACTACACAGCAACAGCAGGCATGTTTTATCAGAAAGAGTGGATAGATACTTTAAGGTCAGAGAAACCTTGAGCCTGAACTAACAGCACATTGTCAGATTGAACAAATATGAGGAAGTTGTGCACTGTAACATTGTGGTAAGGTAATGTGTAAATGTAGTCTGAGGAAGCTGTGATTCTCCTTAAATCTTGTGACAACTCACACACAGACAAATATAGGTTTCCTGCCTAATAATACACAAGTAATATGTGGTTCAAGTGGCTTCCCCTTTTATGTAAGACTGCTGCATGTGACCACGGAAAATGTAGATTCACTAAAGCATCGGTCACCCTGTTATCAACCCATCTGCAAAGAGTTACATTCTATATTCTAAGTTCATGTCTTCACCGTTATATTGATGTTGAAAAGCAAATAGTGATCATATCTGCCTAGAAGGTAAATCTGGTTGTGCATGTGACTTTAATGATTATCTGTAATCAGGTTTTGGGAGAGACATATTAGCCCCCAACAAAAATAGAATCAAGATAAGATCAAGGCAAACTCAAACACTTTCAAATGGATTTGTGATAGTCTCTTCACTCTGATCTAAACCCATCAATCAACACCAGCACACATTGATTTTTTTCTTCACCTCACTGACTTTCAAACCTAATGCCAGTATTTGCATGTCCACTTACTTGAAGGCATGGTGTAGGTGTCCTCCTCGTCTATGATCTCAGCATAGTCGTCCGTTTCTGCAGAGAAGAGTCGACAGCTAGATTAGAACTCCACTGTGATGTGACAAGCGGAGACCCATAGACAGCATTAACATTGAACTAGCTAAACACAAAACAAAGTAACATTTCTGTCATCAATACAAAAGGATTTGTATCACCAGGATCTATTTCTGTAGTTATAACCCTCGTCTCTATTTCCACCTCCTCCCAAATTACACACACACACACACACACACACACATCGTGCGGCTCAATAAGTTCAATGGACACACGTTCACACACAAATACAGACAGTAACAGAAACACAACACTGTCAGACAGAAGTACCTTTCCAAAAGCCTGTCACCATACCTGACTCCAGACACACGCACAACAATTAATATGCTCATGTACTAATGAACTGCTAACAACAATGCAACGAGACAGTACAGACCAATAGAGAAAGAGAAAGAGAGAGAGAGACATGAGGAAAGGGGAGGGATGGAAAGTTAATTCTTTCCAGAGAAGCAAGATAAAGAAAAACAGGTTGAGTCATGGATAGGGCAGAAACAGTTCCATGCAGATTCTACACACATACACATAGAGCAGGAATTCTATTGTGTTACTAGTTTAATAGAGAGTATGTTGTTTACCATCGCCACTAGTCTGACCTGCAGAGGCCACATGCAGCAAGAGGGAGGAAAGGGAGAGAAGTGTTAGTTTTACTTTTACAAGTTAAATGTTATGTGATATGTATTTATTTAATGACTTATTTTTCATTCTGTGTAGCTGTGAGTTTGTCCGAGGTTAGTAGACAGTGTGACAGTGACTATAGCTCTCCATGGGGACATCTGGCAAGACAAGGGCTCTTCACTCCACACACAGATTAGGCTTTATAAGGGGAAATAGGGTGTGCACACACATCTATGGTCCCTTTATCTCACTCTTAGCAGTCACTGTCATTCATGACATTTAGAGCGGCGGACAGAGCAGAGGCAAACCGACAGAGGAGAATGAGACAAACAGGCAAAGAAAGCAAGACAGGGATTTATACCTGAGACGCAAACAGCTCTGGTCCGTACTCCGTCCATCCGCTTCTCCATTCGCCTCTCATGATTTGAAACTCTGCAATAGAGATGAAAAAATGATTTTTGGCATTTGGTGACACATCTATGAATTCTGAATGCCCCCCCAGTTACAGTTATGAAGATATCAGTGGAGCCAGAGTAATGAGGGATCCACCCACATCCTGTCAAGTGTGCTGCTTCACAAAGTCAAACACAAAGACCACTAAAGCGTTTTTATATCTAAAGATGATTATTATATTCACTGTATGGTCAATTCAGAACCTAAGAATGTTATTAAAATTGTAAAAGTTTGAGATGGCAGCTTTAAGCTTCAAAATGTATATTCAAATAAAAAAACTAAATAAAAGTGCCAAATTTCACTTCACCCTTTTCACCACAGCCATCCCCATTTCTGTTGCAGTAATTTGGGGATAAGAAAATGCTTTGCACAAATCCAATTATGGGACTAAGAGCTTCAAAAAGTCTTTACTTTGTGAGGGGGTGGGAATATTATTTCAACCCTTAACATTCCGAAACTAGTGCGACCAAGCCCAAAGTGCCAGACACGCAACATACTGTTAAACAGTTTTAATGTCTCACAATAAAATGACATCTTGTATTTACTTCATAAAGTAATTGTTTTGTAAAATGAACCAGTTTACTTACTTGGGTATAGAAGGCAGAGCTCTGTCCCCCTCTGCAGACACAAAATTAGAAACATGAATCAGGGAAAAGAACAGAACGACTTCATGTTAGAGCTCTAACAAATACTTTGCTGGCATTGTTATTTTTAGAGAAGACCAACCAAACTCGTGCAGGTTATTCAAAGTGACAAGCATAAAGCCTCAACAGCCTCAATCAGACCTGACTACTATTTGAAAGATGGCTGAAAGCGATTTCAGTCCTGTGAACTATATATAGTAGAAGGTAAAACATGTTAAAAAAATTTTTTCTGTGCTTTAAGTTTCCATCTGAATAATACAACATAATGTTGCCACACAACTGTCCGACTAAAATACTGCAAAAGACCCTATAAAATCAATTTACTTCGGATTAGTAGCAATCATCGAAGAAATGCAATTAGTGGATCCTACCTTTGTGGACTCTGACGATGAAGGAGTGAGTTGCTGAGGAGACAAGCCGACAGTATCCGTCAATCAAGTCAGCCATGTTTTCTGCTGTTGTCAGCAATGCCGTCGTGACTGTGAGAGGCTACACACACACACACACAGAGAGAGAGAGAGAAGGATTAGTGTGAGTGGGGCAGAGCATTGCTTCACAGAGACATAATGGGAGCTTTATTATTGATAATGTCTTCTAGCAGTGCACACACGTATACACATTTACACTTGCACAACCTACACACATGCTTTTTCTTGTACAAGCCTCCTGTGAACACACACCCATTCTCAAAAGATAAACTCAGCCTGACACTCAAGTGCAGATTGCAAAACCCGTCCTCATCCATTAACGTTGTTACATGTCTTTAAACTTAAGTTAATGTGGTACTTCCAAAAATAAACTATATCGGATTTGTTACATGTGGAAAAATAATTATTTGATAAGAGCAGAAAGTGCTAGAAATCTGATGGGCCTGATATCAGGCTCAACAAAAACACATAGCTGTGCCTTATTTTCATTTTGAAATTTAGGAACTGTGTTACTGATTCAAATGCTTCAAGTTCACAAAATTCAATCAACAGTTCTTTATCCTTTATGATCTAAGTTACATTCAACATGAACTATTACTCCAAATCTAATATCCAAAGTCCAGCTGACAATGGTTTGCAGGGTGTGTGTGTGTATTGTGTGGGTTTTTACCTCTGGAGCTCCCGCTACGTTGAGCTGTAGCATGCCTTTCCTGTCCTTCTCTTCCAAAGAAGAGTACTGGATTGACTGAACCTGGGTGAAGTTAGCTAAGTGTGTGGGCTGCAGGGAGAAAGACGGATACAATGAAATGTTTAAAATCATGTGTAAGGTATGTATGTTCTATTTTTACATTAAAACAATGCTGAATACAGAAGTGAATCATTTAACACTGTGCACTAAAAGAATAATGTGATCAAGAGTGAATTTTAATGTGTTCAGAAGGACTGTACAGGAAAAGCTCTCGTTCATTTTTCATGCAAAGATTAATTCATTTAATTAACCACTGACATTTTGACAGACGGTCTGTGTCATTATTGCAGAATTTAATAACTAAATCTGTACACTGAAGTAATGGCTGTGCATGCAGCTGTTTCCTGTATTTTCAGTTGTCACTGCACTGAGAACCTCCTTCATGCAGCTGTGCACTTTACATAATAATGTCATCTGCTGATCACACATCTGTCTTGTTGTAGCTCATACAATCTATTGTGTTACAAAACCTACCAGGCCGTCAGCATTTCAACACATTTCAGCTTAGACAACTGTCTATCAAAGAGGCTAGATCAACCAGTAGAGGGCAGTATAGGTGATTAACACCATGTCCTGTGAATGATCTTTATTAAAAAGCATGTTGTATACAGTGCTGCTGAGAGCAAGCTTTTGTGGAATGAAAGTGTGTGTGTGTGTGTGTGTGTGTGTGTGTGTGTGTGTGTGTGTGTGTACGTATTCACCGTTGAGCCCTTATCTGTGAGGTAGCTGATTCCTTCCTCTGGTCCGATAGCTAACTCTACTGATATTACCCAACTAGACTGGAGGGAGAGAGAAAAATACAGCATTAAAATAGATTTACAATAAAAATCATATTCAATCATATCATCTGCTTTAGAAACTATACACAATAATGACTGTGATACAGATACCATAAAGCAATTTACACATACTCATCTATTTTCAATATTACTTCTGAAATTCAAATCCATTTAGGACAGAAGATTATTTGCATTCTGTAAATGACAGTGATAATACACAGCTGTAGAGAAAAAAAATCAAAAACTACAATTTCTAACCTCTCTTGTACGGTTCTTCAAGCCATTTAAATGAAAGATTGAAACCTCACTCTGCATGTTTCCTACCCTGTGCATGCTAAACAGGCTCCAACCCACGCCCATGACTATGAATACATTTTACTGACAACGCCTGAATTAACTGTTTTCTGTTCATCTCCACATGCAACATCATGTCTATGCATTAAATGTCGTCCTACCCCTAAAGCACATTTGAAGCACTCCTTGTCGAAGCGGTAGATAGGCGAGAGTATCTCAAAGAACTTGTGGATGCTCTGCTCATCGTTGAAGTTTGCGAATTGCTTGAAGGTCTGCTGGATCTGCTTACGAAGAGTCTTCGCCTAACAGAGAGAGGAAAGAGGGAGAGACGGAAGAAAAAAACATTCCCAAGGGTTCAGTCTTTCTGGGAGAAAGTTGGTTCAGAGCCAAGAAAATTCACAACAGACAAGTGACAAGGCACAGTGCGAGTGACAACAGGAGCTTTAACTTAATGCAAGACAATCAGATAATCAGACATTCAGCCAGACATCCAGTCACTCATCAAGCTGGTCTCCCTGCCAGGCGGCTGGTCGCTCAGTCAAATAGCCATTAGCGCATCCAGCTGACGGAGCAGAACAAGGATTCCCAAAGACATTTCTGCCTCGGTCACTTCAGGCGATGGAACTTCAATGGGAGACTCTGGCCACATAGACTGATGAAACCTTCTGATTCTGTTTTGTTTTCATGAGTGGTTTAACCTCACCTTGAGAGAGTCCAGCAGGCTTTTGGGGAAGAACCTTCTCAAACCAACATCTTTCCTAAAAAGACAAACAGAATCGCAATTTATCTTCGAGTAGTTGAAGTTTAACTTCAGAAATTAGAAGTAACATAATAAAATATCTTACTCTAGTAGTTCATAGTTTGATTTCTTATCCAAGGCGTTACCTGGCATCTCTCTAAAAAACCTCCTGTATGATTTACAGAGAGAAGGAAATACACTTTTATCAAACAAATTAAATGCAAAGAATTTAAATTTTCTTTCGAACTAATATGTGTATCTTACCTAATTTCCAAACATCCTAGTTTCAAAGCAACATCTTGATCCACCCGGTCAGCTATATGCTGCATATAATCACTCTTTACCTGGAGAAACACAGTGAAGCAGCCCAGACAAACAACATTGTCGAACAGATTAAATAGACGAAAAAATGAAATGCATTCAATGCAATACACGTAGTCTTCTACAGTGGTGTCATGTAAGAGCAGAGTAAATTGTATCAGTTTGGATTATTTCTATCCATCTGCTTAAAGATGCATCTTGAAGGACATAAGCCTGATGGAGGAGGTGACAGAGAAGATGAGGCAGGTTCAAGAAAATTATACACCTCATTTAAACCAAGTTTAACTTTTCTATTTCACAAGGACGACACTTATTTTTCTGTTATCCCACTGTGGTGTCTCACCTGGTGATAGAGGTAGTTGAGAGAGGGTTTGTCTTCACAGAAATGGCTGAGGTAACCTTTAGGAAGGTACCGTATTCGCAACTCATACCTGAGAATGACAGAGACGATCTGGATAAATATCAGTAACACACACACACACACACACACACACACACACACACAATGAAATAACCTGCAGCATCCAGATTCACTGCGTGTCTGACGCATAAAGACAGAAGGATCGTGCTTACTCATCTATGCAGCTGACGCATACACAAACCTCTACGCATATTAAAGCCCTGACTCTGGTCCAGTGGGAAGTAAAGAAGAGATAAAAGGCACGACAAACTCAAATTACAAAAACAGATCTCTGGGATTTTTGGGATTATTATTTCTAAAGGTGTATTTTACTGATTAACAAATTGTTTTTAAATTTTAAAACACTCTCCAATATGTTGTATAAACCTTTCTGAAAATGTAAAATTAACTCACTTACAGTATAGCTCTAACATTTGTGCCTGATTTGTGAGATTACACATATATTGTCACAGGGAAGTTGTTTTTGTGTGCAATGACACTGCTGTTTTCCTATTAAGCATAAATGTGTTCTGCCACTCCTTCAAAAAATAAAAAGCTAAAGTTAAGTGACCGATGAGCATCCCTGGATCTGGTAGTTCTGTGTCAGAGTAACTTAGGCATGATGGCCGACTGCCAACAAAGGCGTTTGAAACCCGGGTTTAAAGTTTAAAGAGTCCCTCTCTAATCACCATGTCAGTGTCTGGTGGCACAGTGAGACGTGGTTTCATATTTTGCTGACAGTGAACTAACCGAATATGATACCATATAGCAAAACGAAATTCCCACTGTTACACTTGCCAGTTAGCCGTGTCACGGACGCATCCAGATGTGTCATCACTGTTTATAGTCGCATATTATTTTATGACTGACATATTGCAGTGACTTGAGTTGAGAGAAATGGGTCAGGGGAGTAGTGAGCTCCAAGCTGCTGTGATGCTACAGGCCTGCAGTTAGATAACAAAAGAAATCAAGGTTGAGGACAAAATGAATAAAACATCCCTGTTCTATAATGAATGAACCAAAAAAGCGGTGCAAGAAGAGAGAAAACGTTTCAGAGAATAAGAGAACTGGATGAGAGATGCCAGATAGGGAAGAGAAGGATGGAGAGAAGGATCAAAGTGAAAAAGAGTGTCTGTGGGCACATGAGAGAGAATAAGAGAGAGAGAGCATGCAAGGGAGTGAGAGAGGAGTGAGATAGAGTCAGTCCATCCCCTGGGCTACTGCTGCTGTTCTAACAATAGCTTGGCAACAGCAGAAGCTCCTGTGGGCTTGCAGCTCCGTCGCCCTCCGAGGCAGAGCTGCAAACTCTGGCAGTGCTGCTCCGCTGCATGTCAGTGGTGTGAACAACAGGTTCATTGTGAATACATTTCAATTTTAATGACTTTGGGTGTCACACATTGACTGCAGGACAATGGACTGAATTGTAAGAAAGCTGTTAACAATATCAGAGTAGTGCGGTGGAGCGCCAGTGCAGTGTGGCTGTAGGAACAGAAAATGGACAGAGCTGCTTTCAAACCACGAGCAGCACAGAGAACCAATGGATGTTCTTTATTATAGAACAGCAAATTAAATGTGTAGATAAAGGCATGACGAATTACAATAGGCCAACAACAGTATCAACATAAACAACTCATTGCATGCAGGTCAGGCACTTATGTAATAAAGTCACCTTGACCAGCTGACTTTAGATAAATGCTATAATCCCTTTTTTTCCTTTTGGCTATTATGTAATCTATATTCAAATTTAGATATTTGATATGGATGAATGAGGAAACACATTAAATACATACTTGAATCTGAAGAAAATCAGAACAAGGGCCTTGGTAAAAGGAGGAAATCAATATTAAATACTTGTATTTATTGGTGCCTATATACTGTGTGTTTCAGGTCTTAGGGTCTATAAAATGGTTTCATTGGGACCACATATTATGTAGCTGTAACCTTGTAAAGGCATTAATAACATGGTTGGTTGGCAGGTTTGTAGCTTGAAGCAGTGTAGCTTCTATTCTTATCTTAATGATCTGCCTCTTGTCCTCTGAGAAGAATCAAACACACTACTCCTGATCTTTGGTACGAGCATAACATTAAAGAAGGTGAGTGCCCTTCTGATTACCCTGAGGTATCGACCCACAGATACCTGAGCTCCAGACACATACAGAGGCATCATCAAGCATGAGTGTGTACTGATGGTCTTTTAGGGACTTGAACATCCAGACCTGCTCATCAACTGAGCACACAAACACATTACACCCTGACACTCCTACTGAGACAAGGGAAGAAATGGGGAGAGGGAGCAAACAGCGCAAAGCCCAATTCATGCTTCTGCTTCGAAGCTACGCCGCAGCCTACGCTTAGACGTGTACCCTACACAGAGCCCTGACGTGAACCTCCCCGAAAGTTTAACTATGCATCGAATCTCCGGAAGACTCGCCACCATTTTTTAATTAAGCTGAAGGAACAAACATGGACGATGTCTTTCTTTTCTTTGTTGCAGTTCTTTTAGAAAAAGTAATTACTCTTCAACATCTATCAGCTTCAACTCCAACACATTCCGCTTAGTAACAATCGCCATTGAAGTAAACAAAGACGCCAGAGAAGTTGTAAATAGGCGGACCAGAAGACACTCAACAAAACTAGAAACCGCCACTGCCTTTTCTGCAGTGTTATTGCAGCTGGACTCACACAAACCTAAGCACAACTATGAATGCTCAGCCCTGTGTGTAGGCTACATGCGTACCTACACTGTAGCTGTGACACAGAAGTATGAATCAGAAACATTGAATCTTAATGTAGTTCTACCTCCACTCCTCCTGGGGGTGCTGCTTCTCATATTTCTCCCGGATGTGAGACACGCCCAAATCTGGGTGTAACCAATGGAGAGCATCAGAGTGCAGATGGGTGAGACGGAGGCCCAGAGAGGACACACAGCGTAATTTGTGGATCTCTGCTATCTTCTGGATAACACCCTGTTAAAACAGCGAATAATAAAGGAGAAATTGAGGGTAGAGAAAATAATGACAATGTAGGGATGGAAAGAAAATAAATATTTGTATGTCTTACCCTGACATCTGTGGCATCTCCATGCCTGATATTACTAGCCCAAGTACTTGGTTCACTATTTGTTTCAAAGTAATGGAAGATCTTGAGCACCCGGTCCATGGAGCCAGGGGGGCGCTCGAGGCCGCCGGCAGAGCTGCTGGTACCAACGCCAGGCATCCCGGACCGGGATTTCACACCACAACCACCCGCTGCAGAGTGATTGAGGTTGGGCTCCAAGTAGGAAGACGACGCCATTCCTGACTCAAATGCTCCTGCTGGGGCTAACTGGCTGTCATACTCTGAAAAAGAGAAACAAATACATATGAGGTAAAAAAAAAAAAAACACGACTTCATAGTTGACTAGTAGTATGTGAACGGAGCTGATAACTGATAGCAGAGACAATTAAACACTCACTCAAACATCAATGCAGTCACCGGCAGCCTGTCATTCAAGCTACACTTGACACATTTGTCATGACACAAAACAAGGGTGCATTAATAATCAGGAAGACATAAAAGAGAACTCATGCAAAACAAATCCAGGTGGGGAAGAGACAATGAAACTAGGATACAACTCAACAAACGGCTGTCGTAAGTGAGCAGGAAAACAAGCACACTGGCATTAAACTGCATCTTAATAAGCATGTGGGTGAGCCTGTGTGATGAGGAGGGGTTCACCAGACAGTCAGCGAAAGAATCAATATAACCCTGCAAAATACGGACGCAAGGTCTTTTCAGAAGTACCTATTAGACTCACAGTTCAACATAAATCAGGTGAGTTTCGATAAATAAATAAATCCTTGAGAAGTGGGACACACTCAGGTCAGATTGGAAGGCGGATTGCTTGATCACCCAGAAAGTCAGCGCTGTACGGCCAAGTCAGGCTCCAGTCACTCAGTGGTCTAAAAATGCAGTCCTCCCTGCACTGTAGAGTGGAACTAGCCAACAGGTAAAAGCCATATTTGAAGTCTTTTTGAAGTACATTTACTCTGCCCTGCCTGCGTGGCTACTCAGCTACACTTTGTAATCTGGTGGTTCAAAAAATAATATGGCTAGACATACTACAGTCTGCTTTAGGAGGATTACTTAATTGCTCTGGACACAGTACAGTTGACTGGGATCGGCTCTGGCATCTGCCAACACTGGTTACAGAGATCTGTTTCCCACAACCAAAATATTTTTTTAAGGTTAAGGTACCAAGAGAAAGGGACAATTTTGACAGTGACACTGATTAATAAACAGTATAATCAAGTCGGTCAGTATATGCCCAAGTTCCAAAGGCTTTCTACTGTATGTCAGTTACTTGATACTACTATTAGGTAGAAGTCTAAATAATAATTTATATGGACAAAATGAGCCTACAAAACCACAAGAAGTCTCACTGAAAATATCTAAAGTACTGCAGTGCTAAATAAATTCAAACCAGAACTAGAATGGCGCTCGATGGAGAGCATACTACCATGAAGGCCCAACAATCCCCTTATGATAATACATTTAAAATCACCAGAGCCAGATATTTATTTGGATCTGCAACAAATTGAAGACAAGATCTTTGAATTGTTCTCTGAAGAAAATATTTCACGATGGTAAAGAAATTGAAAAAAGATCCTGGATTGGCCCCATGATCCAGATCTACACTCAAATTGAATGGGTTCTTTACTGACCCATAATGCATCCTTTAACTCTGGGTTATGTGGTGATCCATCCAGTATTTTTTGCGTAATCTTGCTTACAAACAAACCAACAAATGGACAGGATTTAAAACATAACCTCCTTGGCAGAGGAAGGCACAAACCATTCTGAAGAAATTCTTCAATTTTTGTCTCTGCTTCCTTTTAACTCATTGACCCCCTCTGTAAGTTGTTTATGTAACACCTTCTGTCTACTGCGGGCTCATCCTCACAGGTCTGTTGAGACTCGCTCTCTGCAGCTTCCTGTCTTTCCCATGTCATATTGTGACTTTGTGGATATCCCAGCAGGCCTTGTTGAGTCGTCATCATCACTCCAGTGACTCACAGGTTACTGTGAATTCTGGCTGCCACGGTGATGAAACAAGTCTGAGAAGAATAATATCATGGCTCATTTCTGAATTGTGGATGTTATCTACCACAAAATTTCATGTCGAAAGTTTTTATCTGTCAATTTTTCAAAACTCTGTGTTTTACTGGTTGTTTCAAATCTGTTCAGTAGCAAGCAAAAAAAAAAAATCACATCAGCATTTTTCTGTATTGTGTTGAGGTCACAGCCAGAAGGCTTCATGCTGAGAAAAAAGGAAGAAACAGAGAAACCGAAGTTCAGAAACTGATCCAGGGAAAGTTTGCTCAGCACTTTTAACAGCTTGACTTACATTTGACTTTTTAAAGACGGCAAGCACAACGGAAGTGTAGGGGATGACATTATGCAACTTAAAAATTGACTCAGCATTCTCTTAAGAACTGGCTGTATCAATAGTGTGTGTGTGTTTTTGTGTGTGTGTATAATACTGTGGTTGTGTGCGATACACATTATTACATTCACAGATGTGTGGAGAGTCACTTCGCTAGTTTACTTTTTTAGTCTTCATTGTCGTGATTCATTCATGTTATCACACTCGTCTTTGTGTTATTAACCTTATTGTTTTAATTGTTCTATGAATCAATCACCTCTTATTACCCCCATTTGAGATGTGTTTACTTTGAATATTGTTATAATGGTTATTGGACATGTTTTAAACATTTCTTTCCGCTAACAATAATATGATAATGATATGATAATAATGATAATAATTAATTCTTGATCTTACAAAGGATTATATTTTGTGTAAAAAAATATCTCATACAGGAGAATTGATGAATTGAGGTCAGTTTATAATGCCCACAGACCCAACAGACCCTCACTCAAGGCTTTATTACAATAGATGAATGCAGATGTAGTTTAAATTAAAAATATCAACACGCCGACTTGCTCTGGAGCAGCTGCTTCTTACATTTGAAGCATCACATCCAGCCCCTCCAGAGAATTTCTGGAAAATGTCTGTTACCACAGTACTTTGGCTGTGATACTACTGGATTAGTAGATGGCGTGTAATAATCCCTGTAACAGAGTGTGCTGGTGCTGTAAGTACATTAACAAGTCCACTATATAATTTCTATAAGAACAACTACAGATATCAAAGGTGCAGTTTAGAGCATTACAAGGCTATTTGGTCATAATAAACATACCAGTAGGGTTTTGTAGAACAGATGATTTACAGTTACTGACAGCTTTTATTTACGTTTTTAACAACCTCAGTGAACCAATGTGATTTTTGGATGATTTTTATGACTACGCAAAGACATAACATGCAAAGATCAATTTTCTGAATAATCTAACATGTCAATACAATATGGTGCAGAAGCTCATCATTTTCATTGAGTAAAGTTTGCCAATAACAACCATTAAAGTTTCGCATAACTGACAATTGTCATCTGATCTGAGAATCAAACACTAACAATGGTCTGTTATCACTGTGCACCTGTATGAATTCCTACTGTGTGAGAGACAAATGTCAGGTTTTGTGTTCAGTGGACAAGCATATTTTTCTTTATACCAAATAGCATAGTAAATCAAATTGCTGTACAACATTTATTATTGATGATAAATTTATCTTGACAAGTTATGTGGAAAACTCTGTCCACAGTTTTTTTAACAGCACCAGCTCTGGCTTTCATGCCTCCTCTCAGGGGGGCAACTTTAAAAAATGTATTGGGGACATTATTTTGACTGCAACTCATTTTTAAATAGAAGCAGTTTCACCACAGGAGGAACATAGTCACAAACCACAGTCAGCCCTCCGCTGCTGCTCACTCACTCGGTTATCAGATTAGATATTAAGCACTCAAATATTGTTCACACCACGGCACACACTGACACAAAACGCAATAGTGGCGCAAAAAAACACATAACCTTAACCTAAATACTACATACAGCTTTATGAAATCCTATTAGAAAGGTGGAAATTCCTACATGTTGTGCATACAGCTACTTACTGCTGTGCTGTACTTCATCATATGTAGGAAATGTAGTAAGTGTAGTAACTGTTTCTGAGGAGCCTTTATCGATAGAGCTTTTGTTAATATGACCTGCAAATTAAGCTATGAGTGTGTGATGGAGTTAATGTAATGTCAATGTAGGTGATAAATTGTTATCCAACATTCACTGATTCTTAGCAAAATATATGAAATAGTTTTGAAAGGGTTTTGCTAGTTAAGTACATAATGCCATCAAGACAAATGACTTTCAACAGACATTTTCCAGAAATTCTCTGGAGGGGCTGGATGTGATGCTTCAAATGTAAGAAGCAGCTGCTCCAGAGCAAGTCGGCGTGTTGACGACGTTTCAAACTCACAACTGAAAATTAAAATGGAATAATACAAATATTTGAAGATGAAAAAGACACTGACCAAGATGTCACTTGAAAAGCCAGCAAGATTCGAGTGTGGGGCTAAGGGCCAGTACTGGAGTCAAAACACAGCAAAATGTATGTTACGTCCTGCTTCCTGCATGCTCTGCCCAGGCACCACTCCATGCATGTGTGTTCAGAAATGTTTACTGTGATCCAGACAGTCTACAGCTGTGATCTTCATATGTGAAAGGCAAACTTAAACTGGGTCTGTACATTTTCCTGAGTCCATATCTAAAAAAGCTTCTATAAAGACCGTATAAAAGCATTATATTACTGATGCTGTCCCAACCAAGTACCTAGCTAAGTTGATTCAGGGCAGTAAACCATATGAATCTTAAGGTACAATAATGTAAGTCTTAAATATAGTTTAAGCCCAAAATACAAATGAAACAATTTCTTAGTGCACTACTTTCTACTCAGCATAACTGCACTAAATCCCCACATGCATGCTCTCACAGCCTCACAAGAGAGGAATCAAATCAACTAGGCCATGGAGGCAGCCAGGAGGGGTGCAGGCGGCTGCCAGGCCCACCACCACCCCCTCTCTCTCAGTGGGGCTCCACTGACTGACACTCAGCCTGTTAAACCACAGAAGGCTGGAGTTGAGCTGTGTCCCGTAGCAGCAGCAGACGGATGGTTTATCTCCTCGCCTAGCTGGTATCTGGGTTACTGTGGTTAGCACAATCCTAGGGGGAGCCTGGGATCCTTCTGCTTTTTTTTTACCGCCCCCTCTTCTCGTTCCTTACATTTATCCCCTCTTTCATGTCTTGCTTTCCAAAGTGTGCATCTTCTCCCCTGTTTCACTCCCCACATCCCAATTCTTCTGGATCTCCCCTCTTTCTGCATCCCTCTCTCTCTTCATCTGCAACTCGTTTC